AAGATGACAGAGGAGTTTGACGAGGTACAAACCCTTTAACTACAAAACTCGTTTTTTCAAAAAGTAGCAATATCTGAGAATGTACCAGCCAGCCAATTTTAGCATAATTATGTAAACCGGTAAGAGTCGTTATCAGGTTAATATCGGAATTGGAAATTTAGTGTTTGGACAATATTAGACTATTGGATATCAGCAAAAAGTTCATATCGAACATCCCCTAAAAAGAGTGATGAGCTTTTTAAAAATTAATCAACATCATGAACAACATTCAGTCAGATTCAGGTTCAAACGAAAATGAAAAAGGCTATTAAAAATATTTAGAAAAGTCATTAGCGTTGGGAGAAATAATCTTTTTTTCCTGATGAATTGTAAAGGTCTCTTGAACGAATATAAGGAGATTGATGTTGCGTCACAACTGTGTTTGTCTTCTAATTCCAAAAGGTATTAGAAGGAAATACGTCTCCATTTTCTGTGTTTATTGTTAGAATGTTGTAATTATTAATGTATTGTTATAATATTTTATAACAAAATCATAATCCTAATGGAATCGTAATATATAGATATCTAGCTTCTGAAGTCATTCTGTAACAAACCTCAGTAAAGATGTAGCAATAAAACATCGAACATTCAGTACCATTTGCGTTGTTTCCTTGTCAGTATTGAGGTACAGAGCCAGGCTTTTGCAGCCGTCCTCTGTTAGTCTGTCTGATTGTCGTGACTCCTTTTGTTCACGTCACCAGGACAGTGGAGATTATCCCCTCACCATGCCGGGGCCAATCTGGAAAAAGTTCCGCTACAACTTCTGTGAGTTCATCAGCGTTCTGATCCGCCAGTGTCAGTACAGCATCATCTACGACGAGTACATGATGGACACGGTCATCTCCCTGCTCACGGGTCTGTCCGACTCTCAGGTCCGAGCCTTCAGACACACCTCCACACTGGCAGGTAACGACGCCACCTTCTGATCATTGGTTGTTGGAGCACACTGATGTCACTCTACACCTTTCTTCTTTTCTAATGTTTTTTTAATTTTATTTTATTGTTGTAGCGATGAAGCTAATGACAGCCCTGGTGAACGTGGCTCTGAACCTCAGCATCCACCAGGACAACACCCAGAGACAGTACGAGGCTGAGAGGAACAAAATCATCGGCAAACGAGCCAATGAAAAGCTGGAACTGCTGCTGCAGAAGAGGAAAGAGGTTCAGTCACAGTTTTGACTCAAATATAACAGAGTAGCAGATTTAGACATTTACATAAATGTATATATGTACATGTACATATATGTAAGTACAGTTTGTGTATCAATGTACTGTATGTATAAATGTGTGTTTTTCTATGCAGCTTCAAGAAAACCAAGATGAAATAGAAAACATGATGAACTCCATCTTTAAAGGAATCTTTGTCCACCGTTACAGGTCAGACATCAACATGGTCACATTTTCTAAATTACTTGAAATTTCCTTTTCTTAAAAAGGTATCGCTGATTGTAATGTTCTAACCTCGTAGGGATGCAATTGCCGAGATCAGAGCCATCTGTATCGAGGAGATCGGTGTTTGGATGAAGATGTACAGCGATGCCTTTCTCAATGACAGTTACCTGAAGTATGTGGGCTGGACGCTACATGATAGGGTGAGTTTCACACAGGTTGTTCAGTAGCACTCAGTCCCAAAGACTGTGTGTTTAGTAAAATGTTATATCATTTCAGCAAGGAGAGGTGCGTCTCAAATGTCTGAAGGCTCTGCAGAACCTGTACACGAACAGAGAACTGTTTCCTAAGCTGGAACTGTTTACCAACCGCTTCAAGGTATGGTCTGTAGGAACAGAAAAGTCAGTTATTGAAGGAGCGGTGCTCTGTTATCTGACTGATTCTTTTTGTTCTGACAGGACCGTATAGTTTCCATGACGCTGGATAAGGAATATGATGTTGCTGTGGAGGCCATCAGACTGGTCACACTCATCCTGCAGTGAGTTCATTTTTTTAAAATTTTAATCAGGATTTCGTCTTTGTAGAATTCTGGAGGAGGTTTTTGACACCAGGTCACAAGTGATTCTTCTGAGTTACTCAGACTCCTGCACTCTCGTCTGACCTTTCGGTCCTGCCTGTCACTCATCTGACTTGTTCGTTGCAGGGGCAGTGAAGACGCCTTGTCCAACGAGGACTGTGAGAATGTCTACCACCTGGTCTACTCTGCCCATCGGCCAGTGGCTGTCGCGGCTGGAGAATTCCTACACAGGAAGTGCGTTCCTGTCAACCTACTTGTTACGCATCAACAATGAGATCATATGTTTTAGCTGCTTTTACACTGTCACCGTCAACGTTCGGCTCTTTGGTCCAATGATGCCATTTAATGAACATTTTTAAAATCTCTTTTTGTGACAGGTTGTTCAGTCGTCATGATCCTCAGGCTGAAGAAGCTTTGGCGAAACGCAGAGGGAGAAGCAGTCCCAACGGGAACCTCATCCGTATGCTGGTGCTGTTCTTCTTAGAGAGCGAGGTAACACTGGTTTATTAATGGTACATGATGTAAACAGACAGACTGTTGTAAATGGATAGGTCTGTGTTACCATTGTCTATAGATGACTAACACACTGCTGCACTGCTTTGGTCCCTGTGTTTGTCTTTAGCTCCATGAACATGCAGCCTACCTGGTGGACTCTCTGTGGGAAAGTTCTCAGGAGCTGCTGAAGGACTGGGAGTGTATGACGGAACTGCTGTTGGAGGAGGCAGTACAGGGAGAGGAGGGTAAGACGCACACACACACACACACACAGTATACACTTCGTGTTCATGTCGAGCTTCACATGTGAAAATCAGCTACTGGGAGCTGATGTAATGAAATGAAACCTTTTCTTTCTCTTCAAACTTTGGTCCAGTCTCTGTCTTACTGTCTCACCTCATTTGTTCTGTCTGTCTCTACAGTGTTGTCAGACCGTCAGGAGAGCGCGCTGATTGAACTGACAGTGTGCACCATCCGGCAGGCAGCAGAAGCGCATCCACCTGTTGGCAGAGGCACTGGTAAAAGGGTATGTTCAAAAATGAAGTCGATATTTTTTCCCAACACTAGGGTTGTGAAATGACTACAATTCTCAAAATGATTAATCACAATTAATCATGAGTATTCATGATTGTAATTGAACACAATTAATCTTTATTAAAAATAAATAAAAAATTCTCAATATAATAAAAAAGCTTATTTTCTTTAAACTGCTGGAAGAGAACGACTAATAACAGCAGGTAGATGTATGTGTTTCACACTTGTTTTTATTTGTTCCTAATCTAAAAGACAGAATTAGTAATATGGCAAAATACAAAAAAATAAAGATATGCAAAAGTATAACTGAAAATTGACCTCCATAGACTTGGTTTCAAAACTTCAGTAAAGTTGTTATCTTCCAAAATAATGTTTAGAATGTAATGTTTTTTACTGTGTAGAAGCACAGCACACTAACCCTAACCCTGTATTGTTTAAGTCCAGGTTTTGATTTTTATTTTCTGAAGCAAAGCTGACTCATCCCATCACTTTTTTCTGACGTTGGATTTTGTGTTGTCTTTTTTTTTTGTCCAGGTTTTGACAGCCAAGGAAAGAAAGACCCAGATAGATGATAAGAACAGACTGACGGAGCACTTCATCATGGCTCTGCCCATGCTGTTGTCCAAGGTAAGACTTTCCTCCAACTCCCCTCTGCAGCCGGCACACAGAGCCAGACACTTATCCACTTATCGAGTGTGTGTGTGACTGATCTGTTTGTCGAACTAATTGATCAAGGTGTCACTTATGCTGTAATGAGAAATGTTATTGAATCTGTGCCCTTCCGGGCAAACACTTAGATTGTAATTGACCATTTAGTTAAATGGGAAGTAAAAACCAACAGTGTCCAGTACTGATGGATGGAAGTCTCTTTCTTTTTTTACACCACTTCATTTATCTGCATAATATTAGCCATAAATGTTGTCCATGTTCATCTGTCTCTTTGTCCACAGTACCAGGCCGACTCAGAGAAGGTTGCCAACCTGCTGCAGATCCCACAGTTCTTCGACCTGGACGTGTACAGCGCCGGGCGCATGGAGAAGCACCTGGACGCTCTGCTGAAGCAGATCCGTCTGGTGGTGGAGAAGCACATAGAGATGGACGTGCTGGAGGCCTGCAGCAAGACCTACAGCATCCTCTGCTCCGAGGAGTACACCATCATGAACCGCGTGGACATCGCTCGCTCGCAGCTCATCGACGAGATGACCGATCGCTTCTCGCACTCTGTGGAGGACCTGCTGCAGGAGGTATGATGGGCAGAGAAACACCTACGATGACATGAAACATGGGTGTCAAACCCAAACGGCCATGACGTGATCCAGGACCGCTGAATCATTACTTTTGAATAGATTTTAATGATTCTACTTTTGTGCTAAATGACCAAGACCACTCGGTTTTGTTTGAAAGGTTTGCAGTTGACATATAATAAACACTTTGAGGCCAAGATAAACTGTTACTGTTTGTTCTGCAGTAACTGGTGTTTTTTTTCCCCCTGCAGGCTGAGGAGGCAGACGACGATGACATCTACAACGTCTTATCGACTCTGAAGAGACTCACAGCTTTTCACAAGTGAGTCATTTAGGTTCGCGTTTTATCCTTAGCCACAAGCACATCCTCTGAAAAACAGCCAAGACGTTTGTTTTGGATCATTACAAAACGAGGCTGGCCAAGTTCCTGTTTACCATTTCACCAGATTGTGAAAACATATTCTAATACAGCAACAATACAAAAGATCGTATATTTAATTCTATAATATATATTCTTCATATAACCTCATGGTTATATGAAGTCCTTGGACTGATGTATTTTTATCTTATGTCCCACCACAGTGCTCACGACCTGACGCGGTGGGATTTATTTGGCAACTGTTACCGGCTGCTGAAGGCAGGGATCGAGCAGGGCTCCATGCCAGAGCAGATCGCCGTCCAGGCCCTTCAGTGCTCCCACTACTCCATCCTGTGGCAGCTGGTGAAGATCACAGAGGGAGCTCCCAGCAAGGTGCCGCAATTCACTCTGGTCTCCCAGATCTGTCGTTTATGTTTGACTCGGGGGCATCAGAGGCAGAGAGCAGCAGTTTAAGGACTAAAAATCCATCCTCGGTGTCAGACCTTTATACAGAGGCTTGGCTTCAGCCTCGACAGTGCCACAGCAGCCCAAGTCAAGTGTTCAAAGTTGAAGCATGGTCTAATCAGATATCAGTAGAGTCAGAGAGGAGTTTACCCGCAGCTTTGTGTCACTGAAACAATCAGTCGAGAAACAGTCAGTATTTGTGATACATGATTGAGTGTGTTTGTGTGTTTATGTGTGTGTGTGTGTGTGTGTGCAGGACGACTACGATGCGTTGAGGAGAGTGGTGAAGTCTTTTCTAGCCGTGTGCCAGCAGTGCCTGTCCAACGTCAACACACCAGTCAAAGAACAGGTAACTGCTTGATCGGAGGAAAGAGTTTACGATGCGTGGACTCAGAATGCCACGTGGCAAAGTTTCCTTTTGTACTGACATCAGGTGGAGAACAGTTGTGGTTGTCCAACTGAGGCTAATGTTAGCACTAACTCCTTCTGCAGCCAGGGACCACACGATGTGGATTCCCTGTGAAACTCTTCCTGCTCTGTTCCCAGGCGTTCATGCTGCTCTGTGACCTGCTGATGATCTTCAGCCACCAGCTGACTTCTGGAGGCAGAGAAGGTCTCCAGCCGCTCGTCTTCAACCCAGACGGCACTCTGCAGAATGAGCTGCTCAACTTTGTCCTGGACCATGTTTTTATTGACCAGGACGATGAGAGCCAAAGCATGGGTGAGACAGGAGGAAAAACAAAAAAAGTCTCCCTTGGTTCCACTTGGTTTGATTATTGACATTTTCCCTCTTTTATCCTGAACCTGCAGAGGGAGACGAGGAGGACGAGGCCAATAAGATTGAAGCGCTTCACAAGAGGAGAAACCTGCTGGCAGCTTTCTGTAAACTCATCATCTATGACATTGTGGACATGCCCGCTGCTGCGGACATCTTCAAACACTACATGAAGGTGTGTGCTGGTCCTGTGCTACGGACCGGGCTGTTACAGCGGTGACCTGGTCATGGCACCAAGTGATGTCAGAACAGAAATAAATGAAGTGAAATATAGGCAAAGTTTTAAACCTTTTTTATGTTTTTTTTTTTCTCTTCCAGTATTATAATGATTATGGTGACATCATCAAGGAGACGCTAAGCAAGACCAGACAAACGGACAAGATTCTCTGTGCTAAGACACTCATCCTCAGTCTGCAGCAGGTGACACACACACACACACACACAAACACCACAGTTTGGTGCTTCATTCGTAGTGAACAAAGCTGCTGGTTCCTTTACAAATACACTGAAAGTTTAATGTTAATACTTCTCCAACAATAGTGTTTGTTGGAGAAATCTCCTCACAACACTGTCTAATGTCTCTGTTGTACAGCTGTTCAATGAGCTGCTGCAGGATCAGGGTCCAAACCTGGACCGAACGTCGTCTCACGTCAGCGGGATCAAAGAGTTAGCTCGTCGTTTTGCCCTCACCTTTGGACTGGATCAAATCAAGACCAGAGAGGCCGTGGCAACACTGCACAAGTACGAACCATAGAAGAAGAGGCTGATCTGATGTGTTGTGATTTTTTTTTTAAATTTCCCATCACTCATATGTTGTTATGATGTTGTATGATGTTTTTTTTTTCTCCTACCATGTAGAGATGGTATCGAGTTTGCCTTCAAGTACCAGAATCCTCGAGGTCCAGAATTTCCTCCCATCAACCTGGCCTTCCTGGAGGTCCTGAGTGAATTCTCATCCAAACTAATTCGCCAGGACAAAAAGACAGTGTAAGTAACCAGTCATGTAGTAAGACACTGTTTTAGATAACAAGTAAATGAAATGCCAACAGGACAGATGTATTGACTCTAAATTCCCGGGTGTTTTTTCAGCCACTCGTATCTGGAGAAGTTCATGTCGGAGTCCATGTCCGAGCGTCGGGAGGACGTGTGGCTTCCACTGATCTCCTACAGGAACAGTCTTCTGACAGGAGGAGACGAAGACCACATGTCTGTCACGTCAGGTTCGAGCAGCAAGACAGGCTCGGTACGCAGCAAGAAGGGACGGCCGCCGCTACACAAGAAACGTATTGAGGGTGAGGCGACAGTGAAGACAGTGACCTTTTTAACTCCTGCCTCTAATATTGTTGACTGGTATTTTCATGGTGTTGCTCTGTCTCTGTGTTTAATCAATGGTCTCGTGTCCAGAGGAGAGTAGTGTGGAGGGATCATGGCTAATGCGTAATGACACCTTACAAACACCAGGGGCACTGCAAACACCCCAGCTCACCTCCACGGTCCTCAGAGAGAACAGACCGGCAGAACACATGCCAGACCCAGACTCCGAACCTGGATCAGAGAGCGACTATGTACACAAGTGAGTCCACGTGAACACACTTCCTGTATGTAAGCTACTACAATCTGTTCTCAGACTGAACATTGTGATAAGTGTGTGTTCAGTCCTCAGATGCAGATGTCGTGGCTCGGTCAGCAGAAGATGGAGGAGGTGAACAGGAAGGACCGGACGGGGATGAACTACATAAAGTCACGCAGCAATCAGGGCGTCCGACAGACTGTGTATGTTTGGGGTTTTTTTTTTGATGATTTTTTAGATTGTGTCATCAGTAACACTAGGCTTCAGGGATGTGATCCAGTCCTCAGTGTGAGTCCAGATCAAGTCCAAGTCAGAGTCTGTTAGAGAGTTTGTAGGATGTGGAGTCGCAGCTTTGATGTGATGGAGCTCAGTGTGATTCACTACAGGTGATTGGATTAAGTCCTAGTCGTTTTTTATGTTTTTTTTTTATGTTTGTTATGTTTCAGATGTATGTTATGTTTCAGTAAGTCCGTTTCGACTAGGTTCTTCAGTCTCCTGAGTCATTGGTGTTTGTTGTTGTTTTGGCTAAACTGAGACGATTTCTTAGGGGAAGTTTGTATCAACGTTCAGGAATTTCATGTTTAAGTCACTGCAAAAGACTGAGCGCAGTCAACGTTAGACGGCGCGTCATTGGACATTAGCACTCGAGCACTGATAGATCTCAAATATTGGGCAAATTTATAAAAAGTTGCGACTGTTGCACTGTTCTGTTCAAGTTCAAATTAAACACATATTTTCAGGCGCGGGTTAATGGAGGACGATGCAGAGCCAATCTTCGAGGATGTGATGATGTCATCACGGGGTCAACTTGAGGATATGAATGAGGAGTTTGAAGACACGATGGTGATCGATCTGGTCAGTTTGCACCACACACACACACACTGTTGGGACGTTAGCAAAAGACAGAAATTGCGTGTTCTCATTTTTGTGTTTTCAAACTTTTCAGCCGCCATCCAGAAACAGACGGGAAAGAGCGGAATTAAGACCGGACTTCTTCGACTCTGCAGCAATGATTGAGGACGAGTCGGTTAGTTACACATTCTGACAGATTTTACTTCTAAATAATTAAATATCCTAATAAAAGTAAAAATCATGTTGTCTTTCTCAATGTAAAATCACTACTCTACAATTGAAAATGTCAAACATCAATTTTACATTTTTAGTAGTAATAAATGTCATTCTTGGAATAAAGAAACTAAATGTGATGAGTAAAACGTTATTGACTTTGGAGCCCTCTAGTGGTACTTTTAGAAACTGCACCCATTCCTCCGGAGGCGTTTTTTTTTACCCCCTGACTGTTTCCTCTCTGTTGTTGCAGGGTTTCATGCCCATGTTCTGATCCAGTAGAAGAATCCAGAATCCACATCAAGGGTAAACCGAAGAGGCGTGGGGTAGATGTCTGATCTCCAAGATCTCCTGCCAGCCAATCTCTTAAGAAGAAGAAGAAGAAGAAGTAGAAGAAACACATTTGTTGAAGTACTTTTTCTCATTCTAAGACACAAAGGAAGGATTTGGATTCACTGAGAAATCTGACACGGCTGGATCCCACTTTTTGGATGTGCTGAGGCATCAGCGTCAGCTCTGTTTCTTCAGAGGATTCAGAACCTAATCCAGATCCTTCACACTGTCCTGCTCCTTTTATTCTTCCCGGAGATTGCTCTTCACTTTAGCTGTTCTTCGCAGTAGCTCTGGCGGTGCTCTGGCTCAACCTGCAGCCAGCCAATGAGTTCTGGGCAGTTTTTAATGGTTCTCTGTTAAACAGATGTACAGATGTTTGATCGTTTTCCTCTCACGTTCAGCGGCACAGGGCAACATGAGACACACGCACACTCACTCACACATCCCCAAAACTCTTTTCTCTTGGTGTCTGAGTTGGATCGGTCTGCAGTAAATCCAACACGAAGAGACTTTTGGCACTAAATGTTCTGTATCTTTGCTCTAACTATCACCCACCGACCCTTTAGCCCTCCGTCCCTGTTTGCCCTGTAAGTCTTTGTGCGTGGTGCTGGTGGTGCTGCGTGTACAGTGTTGATGGTGGTTGAGTAGCTGCGCACATACACACACACGCGCATGCGCGGTGGCATAAGTATCCTCTTGGGTTGTCATAGCATCAGAACAACACTGGCGCCCACATTCCTGACCTGACCTCAGGCCCCGCCCCCCTCCAGTCTCAGAAGCGTTGTGCACAAACATTTGCTCACACAAACACACACACACAAACATTCTGAAAACGGCTTTTTGAATTAAAAAAAAAGTTTTAAAGACAATACACATATTTTGAATCCTGTAGTTTTAGTACAAAAGTTTTAAATCAAGTGTGTTTTTGTTTTTGTCCGATGTTTGTACAGCTTTTTTCTTCTATATGTATCTCGTTCGTTGCCAAATTGTGGCCTACATATCTACAGTATATTCCAGTCCCTGCCGCCCCCCCCCCCGACCCTTGCTCAGAGTGTTCGGTTCAGTGTTACAGCTGTTTGGTTTGTTCACGTCTTGGTTGGTTGTTTTTTTTCCTCCACCTGCCAACAGTGTTTGACTGGTTCAGAGTTTGGGTTTGTCATCTTCAGTGCAGTGATAGATCTTTGTGTCTGACGCCTTTGTTTGAATGTGTTTTTAATGTTTCCAGCCACACTTTACACCAGTCACGTACTTTTCTCCAGGTTCTCCTGCTCCTCAGTCGTCCTGTGAGTATCAGAGACAGTCGGAGTCTTTTCTGCAGTGCAGTCCAAAATGCTCTAAAAGCCAATTTTTTTTTTCTGTGAACCTAATTTCTTTTATTAATAAAACAAATCTGTATTCGATTTAACTGACTAGTCTTGGTGTCATTCAGAAAACTAAAGACACAATGATTTTTTGTATATAAAATCATTATATCATATATATATATATACACATATATATGTGTATTTGGAAAAAAATCATATATATTCAGTATATTTGACTGAAGGTAATAGTGAAGTGTATGAAGTTTTTTGATTAAGACACTATGTTGTTTTGCAATTTAAAATTCATGCTGAAATTTTACTGCAACTTCTTAAAATACTTACAGCCCTACACTTTACTAAAAATAACCTGCTGATTGGATGACGAGCCAATCACCTACACTAATTGTACAGTGTGTTCTAAAGTCCATTAACAAACAGTATAAAAATGTATGTTTGGGTAAACACAATTCATATACATTTTGGCAATGGATCAATTTCTTTGTATTTTTAAATTTTCCTAGCCATTGAAGCGTGACATCTCTGCCTCCAGCCAATTAAATTTGAATGTCATCCCGTTTCTTGCTAGATAGAAAAGCTGTGTATTTGGATCAAAACAAAACACGATTGTAGTTTCATGATTTATTTGACAGTTGACAGAACAGAGTCTTTCAGAGAGGAGAAAGAAGAAGGCACACTTCCAGGATTAGACTCGAGTCTGTTGACCTAAAAAGGTGGTTGGAGCATTGCACTAGAAAACCACTGACTTAATCCTACCACAGGAAAACCAATAGGATGAAGGTGTTCACCACTGCACCGTGAACAGGACCATCAGGGTCAGAGTGTTGACACGTCAGACTTGCGTCAGTAGCCAATAAGGCTGCAGCTTTCGTGATCATCTCCCATAACTTGCATAATGAACTCCACCATGAGCACCAACATTTTGACCCAATTCTAAATGTTTTCACAGCACCAACATTTTGACCCAATTCTAAACGTTTCACTAGAGGGTCTGAGGCTTTTACACATTCTACAGTTTGAAAAAGTTCTACACTGGTACAAGTAACAGTGAGAGAGAAGATTTCTAAGCACGACTCTCTCAGGTATAAAGAAAATCAGCTGTGGGTGGAGTGGCGTCTGGTTGTTTCAGGAAAAACCAAAGTCTGACGCAGCGGCTGACGGTCGTCAGTACAGTCGGTGTTGTTGCAGTTTGTTGTGACAGACTTGGTTCAAAGGTCAGGGCCTTTGGTTAGTGTTGGATTGGTAAAACCGTCAGCGTGTGTTTCACAGAGGAATGTTGGCGTGTTTCTTCCAGGGGTTGACCTGCTTCTTGCTGGCCAGCACTTCCAGATCTCTGCAGATCTTCCTGCGAGTGGTCGAAGGCTCAATGATGTCATCAACAAAACCTGGTGGACACAGACAGAGCAGCAGGTACATTATTTAATTTGTAATATTTAACTCTCCTTTTATGGAGGTGGGATGAAGAGCTGGAAGGTTCACCTCGGACCGCAGCTGGGAAAGGATTAGCAAACTTTTCCACATATTCCGCCTCAGCTTCGGCTTGGTTCTCATTCCCTCTGAAGATAATCTGAACTGCACCCTGGGAATGATGTCAACAAACAAAAAAAGATATAAATCAGTCAGGAAAAACAACCCCTAACCAATGAGATTTTTTTTTACCTTGGCGCCCATGACGGCAACCTCTGCTGTGGGCCAGGCATAGTTGATGTCTCCTCTCAGATGTTTGGAGCTCATCACGTCGTAGGCTCCTCCATACGCCTGAAAACAACAAGATGAGGAAGATGGTTTTAGCATTTTGGAGTGACCACTTCCCTACAGCTTTGTAACCACTGCAAACACCAACTCCAAACCAAACGTAACATCTGTGTCTACTCCTACCTTTCTGGTAATGATGGTTATTTTTGGCACAGTGGCCTCTGCGAAAGCGTACAGCAGTTTGGCTCCGTGTCTGATGATGCCTCCGTACTCCTGAGCAGTCCCTGTGGAACGTGTCGGTACAGTAGTGATTCACTACAGGCTTTATTTTATTTCAGTTGACCAGTAATGATATCACGGTCCTTGAATTGACCAATAGACTCGTAGGATGTCACACAGGCTGAATCAATACCTGGCAAGAAACCTGGGACATCCACAAAAGTGATGATGGGAATGTTGAATGCGTCACAGAAGCGTACGAAGCGTGCTCCCTTCACTGAGGAGTTGATGTCCAGACAACCTAACGCACAAAACAGGAAATAAGGATTTCACTGACAGGAAAAGCAACAAAAACAGTTTTTTCTGTTTCAACGGTTCCCAACTTTCTTTGGCTTGTGACCCCATTTTCAGACATTTCTGTTGACTCTAGAGACATTTTTTTCTTCAGTCATGTGACTGCAGCCGTCACTCAAGATGCACCATATTTCATGAATATAAATTACTTTGACGATTTATATTCACGAAAGTGAAAGCATACAGTTGTATATGAGTGTGTGGTGTTTTTAAATCATAATTTTAAATAACAATTAGTTGAAAAAATATTTTTAGAGTGTGTGGTGTTTTTTTCAGGTGACTTCATTTGAATTTTAGGTGACCCAATGTGGGGTTGTGACCCAGAGGTTGAAACACCATCAACTTACCAGAAGCAACTTTGGGCTGGTTACCCACAATGCCCACTGTGCGTCCGTTCATACGGGCAAAACCAACAACGATGTTCTTGGCGTAGTTGGGCATTATCTCAAAGAAGTCTCTCTCATCCACAATCTGTTCAGACATGAGTAACAGGTGAAAATATTCAAACCTGCAGATGTTTGAGGTACATTAGACGTATTTGCAGAGCCGTGTGTGTACATACAGCTTGAATGATGTCCAACATGTCATAGGCTTTTGTGGTCTCAAACGGAACAATGGTGTCCAAAGAAGGTACCAGACGGTCACTGGAAAGACAGAAGGATCTCATCAGGCAAGAGTGGAAAACTAAAAAAGACACAAAGACCTGGAGTGACGCAGTACCTCGGGTCGTGACATTCCATGATTGGAGCAGCGTCTTGGTTGCTGAGCGGCAAGAAGTTGAAGAACTCCCTCAGGTTGAGGAGAGCTTCGATGTCATTCTCAAATGCACGGTGAGCCACGCCTGAAACAAACAAAACAGAATTTTGTTGCTGGCCAGTAGCGGTACTGCATCCAGAAATGGCCCTTTTTTTAATGGCTTCAGTGATCTTGTTAAATTTGTTTTCAGAATACAGCCATCACAAAAAATATCAGGACACATTAAAACCAGTACTTCTCAAATAGCACATATGGACATAAGGGTACCACTGCTGTAATGCATGTATCAAACAAGCCTCCAGTCACTAGGTGGCAGCAACTCAGTGGTTTGTACAGATGAAAAATATACATGTTATCAGGTTCTCATAGTATTTCAATTCGTGGGGGTGTGGGTCGGGAGAGGCCCACTGATGTAAACTAACCAGACACAGAGGTGTGTGTTTTGGCTCCACCCAGCTCCTCTTGAGTCACATCTTCATTGGTGACAGATTTCACAACATCAGGTCCAGTAATGAACAGGTACGATGTGTCCTGTACACACACAGATACTGATGAGAATGTGGACATAGCATTAATAATAAGACAAGACATTCTCTTTGAGGACTTCAACATCCAGATACCTTGACCATGAAGGTAAAATCTGTCAGAGCTGGGGAATAAACAGCGCCTCCTGCACACGGACCCATGATGAGAGAGATCTGAGGGACAACTCCAGACGCCAGCACGTTCCTCTGAAAAAACAAACGCATTATCCCTTTAACTCCATTCAACAAAAACCAAAAGTTAAATACGTCACATTAACAACCGTCTGCAGTGACACTAACCAGGAAGATATCTGCGTATCCTGCCAAGGACTCCACCCCTTCCTGGATTCGAGCTCCTCCAGAGTCGTTCAGTCCAATGACAGGCGCTCCGACCGTCATGGCCTGGTCCATTATCTGAGGACAGGACCAGAACCTGAATACAAAGGCGGCAACTATCCCAAATGTCTACTACAGTATACACACAGCCTACTGTACCTTACAGATCTTCTGTGCATGAGCTCCAGACAAGCTGCCACCAAACACTGTAAAGTCCTGAGAAGAAAAAGAGTTTCAATGAACTGTGAACCAACATCTAGAACATCAGATTTCCCACAGTATACAAATATTTATTTGTACCTGACTAAACACGTACCACAGTATGTTCCCACAGTATAAAAGTATTTATTTGTACCTGACTAAACACGTAGACCAGTCGGCCGTTGATCCTGCCTCGTCCCGTCACAACACTGTCACCCGGGAACTAAGAGCGATAAAAGTTCTTCAAAAAAAAGCTACTGTGACGGTAGATTTTTTCTTTGAAAACCTTGAATGTTTACATTACCTTGTTCCCGTCCTGTTCCATGCCAAAGTCGGCACAGCGATGCTCCACAAACATATCCGTCTCCACAAATGACTCCGGGTCCAGCAGCAGCTCCACTCGCTCTCTGGCTGTTAGTTTACCCTGCAATGAAAATGTAATTACTGTAATTACTGTTATTATAATTACTAATTAACCAGTCAAAAACATATCTGGAATAATCATCAAAATTGACAATGACATGACAGTAACAACAATTGGTTCCAAGTTTAAATATGCGTTGTTGTACAGCATGTTACAGGGAATGGGCTACACATGAATAATAATAAAATAAATCTATGGCTATGAATTTAAATATATGTCTGTATATAAAGAGACTTGGGTTATTCAAATCTACTTTTTGATAGTATTTCGGTTTAAATCGTACCACCTACATCTGTTATTTGTATTGTAATATTTTACCCAAACCCGTCTACTAGTTTGTCCATTTTGGCTTCCGTACAATCATGGCAGCTCAAGAGGACAGCTCGCGAAGGTTCCTTACAAATTGTACGCCTAAAGGTGTCATACTAGAGGTAAGACAACTCAACTGTTTACCTTGACAAGAGACGTTGAACTAGTGAACACAAGTGAGCAGTAAACAGCTACCAGCAGCAACAGCTTACATAAGCCTTTGAGCAAGGTATTGCATTGCACTGCATCAACCAACCATCAGAAAGCGTCATTAAAGTAGACAAACTGCCGCAGTAAACTGAAAGCAAACATGTAAAATAACAGTGAGTCTGAGCTCGATTTACCTTTTTGTGTTGAGCTTCTATTCTCTTCTGACCTCCGCCAACCAGCGCCGCCTTCCGTTTGTTGTCAATCCGCTCTTTGACGGACAGGTGGCTGACGGAGTACCAGCGGCTGTCCCGGTGAACACGGGTCTGCGGTAATGAAGCAGCGACTGCGACATGTTTGGTCTGAGCCAAACCCCTGAGAGACGTCCTCAGCCCGGTGATAAGTCCGCAGGAGGAACGAGCCACAGTGAAGGCCGCCATCTTTCTTTCTGTGTTTTCCTCTCTCGTTCCTCTTCAGTTCTCTTTTTTGTCTCTGCACATTACCGCCATCGTCAGGTCTGGAGTGTTTTTTAAAAAATCTCCAGATTTACAGTGAACTTTTTTTTTTAGACATTGAATGCAATCATTGTTTTTCTTTAGAGTTACACTTGTTATAACAGTAGTCATTTACTTAAATTTTTGTTTGTAAAAAATATTTTTCATGGCATTGTAAAATTGCAGGTGACAAATAATGATAATTTATTTGTCTTTATTCATTCTTTTAACCAGGTAGGTCATTTTTTTATTTATTTTATTTTTTATTTTTGATGTACACTAAAAAAAATGTTGAGCAAAAAAAACACATCTGTTTTGTTCCTGTTCTCGGATTATATAATAATACCTACTCTACAACATCGTCTTCATCTGTTGGTGTGAGGAGAACCGTTGTTGCTGTGCGAGTTCTCAGGTGACGTCGACCAAGAAAAGAATGAACGGCCTTCTGAGCCAATGGCAAAATGGAAGCGAGTCCTGCAGCCAATCGGAGTATTGGAAATTGTTGCTGACGATAGTGGGCGGTGTCTCATGGGAGGTTCCGTATTCCCTTAATAAACCTGAGGAATACTTTTGTGCTGAATTAATAATTTTAGCTAGTCTCCTTTCTCAGTCATGTTGACCGATGGCATACAATTAATATTTTAATCGTTTAATTTTCAAGTTACGACATTCCTAAGTGAAAATTGTAGGTTTTTGTTCGTGCCAAGGACATACTTTTCTCTTTGTCAGCGAGACCTCTTTGTCCAATTAACGAAATTCCAGTTGTTCTAAAAGTCCGTGGACATTTTTCCGGTTATTTCCAGCTACCACCATTTTAGTTCTATTTGCTGTCCCAATTTTGAGTTACAGGTAGCGATGTGTGTTTAGTGTGTTTAGATGTACCAAATATAGTCATTTGACAGTGAACGCACCAATAATATATTCTTGTCTCGATTGCCAAACTTTAAAGCCTTTAGTTAGTCTGCATTTAGTTCTGCGTCTGTTGTATCGTTAATAGTCGATTGTATAATCAAATAATACATTATTGCAAAATTTAAAAAACAAAAATATATTATTTTGATCTCTTTTTTAAATTTTGGGTTAACTTCATCTAAATATATTCACTCTGAATGAAAGGAAATGTTAAGTGGGGCTCAGAAAGATAAGTATCTTCTGTTCACTACAGTAACCTGGACAACACTGTACACTCTCGCGAGATTTCCCCGTCCGTCGAGAGGGGTTGGTGCGAGAAAAAGTGGAAAATTGAACGCTTGGTGCATTTGTTAAACAGCTAATGAGCTATGTTTTGATCTGATCGACGATCTTTAAATATCACAGTATAACATATCGTATATTGAATAGTTTCAATTTGCGGCGTGAATTTTCGTCCTACGCGTGAGCTCTAAAGCGGCTTGATAGGGGGCGGTTATTTATTACGGTTGTTTTTTTTTTCTTTTCCGCTCGCTACATAGGCTAGCAATGCTAATGCTAGCCGTTTAGCTTTGTTTACATCAAATGCGCGCCTGTACTCCGTTAGCCTCTTTGCTATTTAAACAACCTAGCAACCGTAGCGCCTATTTGATTGTTTGGAAATACACAGTAAAACAGTTATTGTTGGACTTTTGACTGCTCACATGGCCAACATTTTTCACAGACTTACATGAAACGTTTGCCTGACGCCGCAGGCTAAGTCTAGCGACATCATGCTAACCTCATTATTATGGCTTCAGTGATCATTTGTTGTGCTGTTCGCTTCGCACGGCATCGGAAATTATGTGACTAGGTAAAAGGTACAATTGAACATTAAACAACGCAAACGGTTACCGCGCAAATAATTGCTATAGAATAATCCAGCGTGGTGACCGTAGACGTCAGTTAGCTGCTTGCGAAGCTAACGTGGTACGCCTTGAGAGATGTCCATGATGTCTGTATGTTATTGTTGAATCGTATGCTTTATAATGACACACTGGAGAAACTGATTGCTGCACGGGGCATCGGTTTGTTTATTTTTACACGCACATCCTGGGACTTGATCTTTGGACTACCATCGTTTCAAGTGACTGGAATCTATTGCCCCTGCGGGCCGGGTGCTCCGCAATGAACCCCGTTAATGCAACCGCTCTGTATGTATCGGCCAGTCGGGCCGTACTGCAGTGTGACCCGCGGCAGCCGCACACCTTCGCGGACATGTACAACTTACTGCCCTTCTTCCGACAGTCCCTGTCATGCCTCGTTTGTGGTAAGCATCTCTAACTCATTTTGCATAATAGCAGTACGCTAATACTCGACCTATATCGCCGTGTGGCGCATCAATTAATGATTACATATCTGCTACACATTCAGTCGATTCCGTCGTTATCCAACCCTTTTCTTTGACTGTAGTGTCCTGTGCGTAGGCGCTTTTCTTACAACACTTGACACGATCTGCGTCTCCATCGTGGTCACCATAGTAACCGAGGCAGAGTCTCAGTCATCCATCCTCTTGTCATGACAGATGACTTTTCTGTTGTCGTGCCGGCGGCACAGCCTTGTGTTCCTGTTCATACCTTATTTACTTACGCAGCTTAGCCAGCGGAACATCAACACTGAATTGTCATAATATTTGCCAGTGCTGAAAAAATGCAGCACTGGCAAATATTATGACAATTCTAGTTAGCTTTGTTATACTTGTTGTGCACTGTGTAACCTGGACTGAAGTCTGGGTGATGCAAGCGGTGGAAACTTAAAAAGTCAGCACTTTGTGCATGGTGACGGCTCATTATTATTTCCAACGAGGGCTGCAACAATAATCAGTAATCACTGTATATCTTATTTAATTTTCCACACAAATTAGACGATTTGGCCTATTTTGCTGCCAGGGTATTCTTGTTCATCCATGAAATGAACCATTGATTGTGTGCAAGACTTACAATAAGACAAGAATTTTGTGCGCAAAAAGTGTAGCATAATTGAAATCTATGTAAACTTTTACTTATTGTCTTTATTGTGAGGAATTCATTCAAGTCCTCTGTAGGTGGATTGCTCAGCTACTAAAATGTAAAGGTACTAAATCATAGTAATAGTACTTGTTTCTGGCTGAATTATTGGTTAATTATGCTTTCACTTTTTATGTTAATTCCTCCTTTATCTGTGTGCATTCACATTTAATGAATTTAATTAGATTTTAGGAGCTTGTAATGCTTTAATTACACCTCATATATTAAGCCAATGTTACACTGTACTAACTTAACTGAGATTAGAGGGTATTTTAAATAACATTTACTTTATTTATCAGAAAAAAATGACCAAGCCTCTCCTGTGATAGTGTTCATTTTTTTCAACAGTGTCAGATTTTCACTCAACATACTTTGTGCACAAGTTGTTATATTGCACAGTCTGGTGATACAGTGGCTTTAAATGTTACTGTTTTTCCATCTTTGTTCATTGACAATAACACAATAAACATTGACAAACAGGTAAATTGACAGTTTCTTTTTTATGTCTAAGGTAAACTGCTGCAGGATCCTCTTTCCCCCACACATCCAGAGTGTCAGCATTATGTCTGCTTGGGCTGTAAAGGCCAGCAGATGCAGATCAAATGCAGCCGCTGTAAGGACTATTCCAGCTTTCAGGAAAACAAACAGCTGTCCTTGCTCGTCCAGTGCTACAAGAAGCTGTGCCTCTATGTGATTCATTCGCCGCTGCTGCCGTTGGTCAGCAGCGTCACAGGAGGATCTCCAGAGGTGATGACGTTACTAGAGGAAGAGCTAACCACACACCAAGAGGAAATGGATACTGAGGACCCAAGTGTTGCACAGGTAGAAATGACTGCCTCTGCACCAGAGTCCCTGACCCCGACTGAGGCACCACCTGTTCCTGCCGAACTCTCGGCAGTACCTCAGAGCTCTTCCTCTGACCCTCTCTCTTCTAATGGACCACAGGAATGCAATGGAGAGGTGTTAAATGAAGTAGATCCGCCCTCTCCTGAGCTGGAGGTATGTGAGTTGGTCGAGGAGCAGCCACCGACGGGCCTGTCTGTTTCCAGTACAGATTGCGGTGGTCTGGAACTAAGTTTGACCACTGGATCTTTAGCACCAACTCCAGGCACCGTGTGCACACTCAGGGATGGAGAATCTGGGAGCAGGGAGTTGGAGGAAGGGGAGGTGTTGCTCCTCAGCGTGGAGGATGTTTTAGAGACTTTGGATCCCCTTCAGCCGGGTCAAGATTCTGCTCACACTTATTCGGACAGGACACACGCTCACACACACATAGCCACGGACACAGCTATGTACATACAGCTGGATACAGCTCATAACTACACACAGATTCAAACTGACAGGACTAACACAATGAAAACTCAAGGTGCTCACAAACACACACAAACACAGACTTTTGATCCCGCCCCTTCGTCGAAACCCCCACCTATCCGCCTTAACCGTAAACGGTCTCATTCAGAGAGTGACAGGGAAAAGGTGAAGCCCCTCCCTATCACCTCCATCCTACAGGGTTCATGTTCACAATCACACCCTCCGAAACCACCTCATACGCCACTCACTCAACCATCCACTCCCGCATTAACTGTACCAGCACACACCTACTCATCCCTAACTAACGGAGCAACCCCTAAGCCCAGTCGCCCTGTTCCCGTTCACAATAAAAATGCCAGGAAGCACGTTGATCCAGTCCCTAAAAAACCACATGCGAAGGCCCGCAACAGTGGAGGCTCAAAGACTAAAGACAAGGGCAAAGAGCAGCGGGTAATGTCTGGCTGCCTGGTGCCTCCAGCTCCCGTTAGGCCTCCGTACAAAAAGCCAGTGGAGAAGAAAGGGTGCAAGTGTGGAAGAGCAACACAGAATCCCTCTGTACTGACCTGCAGGGGGCAGCGTTGTCCTTGTTATTCAAACCGCAAGGTAAGACAGGTCATCATTGCGAGCTTTTGTGCTGAAGTAGAATATTTAATCAACTCTTAAAATAATATTTTCATATACTATAGTAAAAATGATTGATTCATCTGTTGTTGTTATACCATATATTATTTTAATGGAAAATGGTTTGTAATCACATGGGATCCACAGAGGTTCTGCAGAGAAGTTATCTATATATATAAGTATATAGTGGGGGCATGCTGCTCCATCTCACTATGGACCCCCGAGTGTTGGGGTCCTTGACCTCAGTGTTGAAGACTCGTGTCATAAACCTTATTGATTTTTATCCCTAACCTTTTTGGTCACTGTATTGATACAGAAAAGCCTGACTGGAATATATGTTTAATAAAAGTTAAATTATTGCAATGTTTTTTGTTGGTTTGATGCAAACAAAGAAATCCTCTGTGTATTCGTCAGGCTTGCTTGGATTGTATCTGCCGAGGCTGCCAGAACTCTTACATGGCCAACGGTGAGAAGAAGCTGGAGGCCTTCGCAGTTCCCGAGAAAGCCCTGGAACAGACGCGGCTCACGCTCGGCATCAACCTCACCAGCATCACGGCGGCAGCAGCACTCCGCAACCCGGCGACCACCAGCATCCGTGCAAACACCCTCCTCAACGTCTCCACAGCAACAGGAACTCCCGTGACCACAGCCTTCCTGGCCCCCAGTCCCCCACAAGAGCCCACCTATGAGGACAGCCTGGAGCTGCTGATTGGTTGAGAGGCTGGGACTCCCAAAAAACATATAACAGACAGCACAGTGCTGATTGAATGTGACGGCTGATCAATGCGTCTGTCAGACAACCTGTACCTCCCACCTTCCACAGGGGAGGCGATCTTAGGCAGCTATGGGTCTGTCCTGTCCTGTAACCTGCTCTTATTCTGTGTTGGAAAATGCTGAGTAGTAAGACTAGCATGGGTGTGCCAAAGCCTCCTGTATTGTGCCTGTCTGCCAGTGTGTATTGTTGCCTGTCTGTAGTTTAACACTTATACTCAGTTGCAGAACTGTTCTGTATTTCAGAGGTGCTTTCTGTTTGTTTTTGTTTTATCACAGTCATACTGTAAGAGGCAATAGGAACCCTATACCAAGTCTTGTGTTTTTTATGTGTGTCTGCGCGTGCATGTGCGTGTTTGTTTGTGTGCGTGCGTGCATAATGTCAACGAGCTGCATCATGAAATCTTAGTTACTCGGCACAGCATTTCTCCATGTTTAAGTGTTAGCCTAGGTTTGTTGAAGAAATGCATCGTTAATACCTGGACGACCCTCGTTAACATTCGACCATGTATGTGTTCACACCTCTGTTGTGAAAGACTCTTGCGACTAATGTGTTGTAAACCCTTCACAGAAGACTGTATGCCTTTTTATATCTCATTGTGTATGCGTTATTGTACAGACAGAGAGAAAATGTCAAAGATCTGGGCTGGATCCACAGTTATCTCTGCATGTGGGTGACACTGTTTTCAAACATGTACTCCTTAAAAGACCTAGGAAGCTGGGCTCGCAAATAAGTGAGAAATCACTCTTCCCAGTAGAAAGTGATGGGAAATTAGTGGGGTGTGATGCATTAACAACTGTAGGAAATGTATGGGAAACACAGATACTGTTTTCACTAAGTCAATGTTTGATGAGGCTGATCTGTTGGTAGGGTTGAAATAACTAATATTATGAACAAATAATTCCATCCAAACCTCAACAGATCAAAACATTTTAAAAACAAACAAGCAATAAAATTGTTATTTTTTTCTAGCGGATTTCCAGACACCATCTAACCAAACTACTAATAATCTATACCAGCAGACGACATTGTCGCAGGAAGTTGCAGATTCTCTGCATGTGACAGGTCGTCGTTTTTTGCCTGTGGTCTAATCAAGGGACCTGTAGGTGTCAAGATGTTAGGAAACTTAACCAATCATTCACCATGAACTTAACAACCAATTTTCTGCTTAATTATCACATCAACCTAGTCTGATTTAGTCATTTATGCATATATAGATATATGTATATATATTATAAGTACATGTTTGGAAGCAGCTTGTGAGTGAGAGTCTGTACGTAGGAATATGTAAGCCTGCTGCAGTTTACTGTAAGCGCTTAGGCTCCCTGATCATCTAACTGAAAACTAAAACCATGCTCATTCTCAAATAGCAATAGTATCCTCCACAGAGAGCTCCCCAGCTCAGACATACACAAAACAGTTGTTTACCATGTTTGGACTGTAGCTACAATCTTGACCCATTGCGTTTGTGATCACAGGATTGTACAAAAGTGTGTGATCGTGTGTAGGTTACCTGAAGCCATAGGTTGATATTAACGAGACAAAATACTTTGTGTGTATACATGATTATGTCCTGACTGATTAGAGACCAACTCAGAGCCTATTTTTGATACCAAGTGTATGAGGTTTGGTTCCATTGTCTTTTTGTGTGCGTATGTGCGTTTTGGTTAAAGCACCTTGAAGACCTCCTATAGCTCCCGCCCTCCCCCCCAGAGGCTGTCGTGTCTGTGTTTACTGTCTCAGCGTTAGTACCACACATTTTCAGTTCAGTCACAGTGACCAAAAAGAGACTGACGGTGATAGAGTTAGAAATAACGGACTCAGGCAGACCAAACCAACACCTACGTTCTCTGACCACAGAGCAGGAAGCAGCAGGTGGATTACAGTATGATCAGCAAACACGGCCTATCTTCCTACCTGTTTTCTTTGTGTATGTTTTTAAAATGTATTTCTTTTGGGCATTACTTGAACCCTGACCTTGTGTTTTTGTCTTTTTTAATGTAAAAACTTGGTTGACGAGTGACTTATTATTGCTGAAACATTCACTGCCATAATATGGACATGTAATACAACATGAATTAAAAGATAGTTTTTTACTTTTTCAGTTTTGTGTCTTTGTTGTGTAAGCCATAATTTAGGATATACAGTCCAATATGATTGGACATTTAAAATAGTTCTTTAGCTCCTTGTAATTCTATTTAAATAGCTCATGTATAGGAAATACAATAAGCAGCCATCTTGGTTGCCAACTCTAGGTCATATTGGCTATTAACAACGAAGTATAACTAATTTACAACTTAGAGCTTAGGTTTCATAATTGTTCTTTTATTTTTTTAATGAAACCTAATACAATAATAAAAATTTTCTATACTCTTGCATAAAACACGCTAGCTAACGGTCGGTTTAAACGAGCACAAACAAATGATTTGGGATCAGTTTCCGTCGGCCCACTTTATCCAATTAACCATCAGAATAAGCAAATAGAAACGCCCACTGTGCAGCCGCTGATTGGCTCTTAGTGACAGCGATTTTTGTGGTGAAGCGGGTGTGCTGGAAGTACGAGTCACGAAGGCGCACATTAAGAACATTTATATTAAAAGTAATTAAATATTAAAATTAAAAGTATATTAATTGGTGTAAAGCTGAAGAAGGATAAAACGAATAGAACCAAATGAAGTTCTGGGTGTGGCTCAACAAGTTCAGCTTCTAAAGGACGACACTATGACTAAGGTAAAATTACACTCACAAACGTATGTGTCCAAAACTAATTAATTTGGTAATAATATCTCGTTTCATGAGTAAATTATCCCAACGCAAATATATTTTGTAAGAGTCTGTCGTGTAGTCAGTGTGTACTGAATTAAAAACACCTGTTCAACTGCTCCTGGATGTCAGTTTATAATGTGGTGTATGATATGTCGAGGCAGCTCAGGATTGAAATTAAGTTGGAGGTGGTTTGAAAATATGTGTGTATACTGGGCACAGGTTATTGGAGATGGAGTTAGACCTCTGAAGAAGATTCATAAATCAAGTTGGAAAGGAAATGGAGCTGCTTGGTGTGAATGAAAATTAGAAGCAGTGAGGAATAGTGTGATGCAGATGTGGTGACGCCTGAGAATGTGATTGTCGAGATGTCACTCACTATAAGGTGACCATTGTTTGTACGTCTGATTTCAAATGGAATGGCTACTTTCAAACTGATGGTGGCACTACAGGACCAGACAAAAGATCCTTTCTCCTGAGATAG